AATGAGAGGCGGCAACTGACGAGCTCTCTCGAAATGATATGGATCCAATAAAGAGTATATATATATATATTACAGTTTTATGCCCCAGTGAACTCTTTTATGCATCTTTTAAAAGTTTATGAACCCTTGACATGCTCTTCTAAACCCTTTCTATGTTATTAAAGTCCGTAATGTATGAGAAAATAAAAATACACCAATCACGGGAAAAACCGAAGATCCGCAGAAAGTCTCCTGGGAGAGGGGATTGCTATACTTCTACGCACCAAACAGATGAATAGCGTGTACTCTGTAATATGTGCATAGTCGGGATATTTGCTATAGTTTTTAACCGATCAAAGCTTGCCGCAAATCCTGGATTCGAGAAAAGCTACCACCTAAACTGGTAAACATTTGTCAGTGAACAAGAGGCACTACCCAGGATTTTAGTTGTGCTACTATGGCCAGTGCTACACCCGTATGCGAGATACAGTAAACATGGACAAAGCTTTTGCTTTGTAAAAGAAAAGAGGTAAAGAGAAAAAAACATTCAAGAGGTAGGTTAGTGATCACATTGTTGCACTGCGACTTCAATCCGAAAAACTACCCTTGGAACTCACGCAAGTACATCAGATTATTTGGAGGTAAATGGAGCAACCTAACATCTTGTCAAACTGCCTAACTTTACAACCGAAAGCGAGCCAATTGTCAGAAACCAGAGACGGACGAAACAGAGAGAGAATGAAGATAAATGTAGCGGGCCGGGCACACACTGGATCAATTTATCTATTTCTCACTTTCCTCGAAGGATGCTAGAGCATTTTGTAAAGCTTAAGGTTGGATTCCAGCCTCTTCTGGACGTCTTTACTGCAACGTGATAGAAGCGGCGATTTGGTCAGTTGTCGACTGATGTAGAGAGCCGCATTCAGGGCACCCGTCATGTAGAGGAAGGCTGCATAATTCATTTGGAGGTAGACCCACTCCACCGTCTTTTGCAGTTTGTGTTCTATAAAAAAGAGTTTGGTGTCCTTGTAGGTCATTTGACAACGGGTGGCATAGCTCTCTTCGCCCGGATTCAGTTCCAGCAGATAACGCAGGAAATCGGCCTTCAACCGCAACATACTGCCTTTGTCTTGTACCGGGGCCCAAAATTGTCGCATCACCTTTTCCTCCAGGAGGCGAATGTACTCCTCCACTGCGACCTTTACCTGCTCTTTGAGTTCGCCTCGTAATTCCTGCGGAACCGTAATCTCAGGATTGGTCAGAAGGCTCCGTACACTCAGCACATACTCCCTGTAACGCCGTTTGATCTCGGGAATTTTCTCATTGGTCAGAATGCAGGTCTGAAAGAGAGAATAGGACAGTTCACAGAGTCCATCCTTCTTTTCTTTGATGTCCTGTAGCGCTTTTTCCACCGCAGCATCCAGCTTCCCCAACTTCCGCATAATTTCGTCCTGAGCGGCGTCTTCATCCGCTGAGCGAATAATTTGCGCACCTAAAAGTTTTTTTGGGGGGCGGGAAATAATCAAAACAAGGAGGGCTTACGCGCGGGAGCACCGGCAGCGATGTCCATGAATTGTCTTTTAGAGGCATAGGTGCTGGATACTAAGCTAGAGGTTTAAGGCTGCAAGCAGGTAGATTACTTTGGGAGGTGTCCAACTTCTCATATTGTGAATCCGTTTGCGAGGATGGGGCTTCAATACGGAAGCGAAATGGTGGTGTAAAAGCTTTGTACAGAATCGCATCGGTGATCTAGAGAAAAAATAAAGAAGGAAGGCACAGAAAAAAAGAGCAACTTTAAAAAAGGCTGATTAAACGCCTTTCAAATAAAGCAGTCTGCTTGCGAAAAGACGTTTCGCCGATGGGACAAAACTCGCGTAAGATGCTGAACTGGACGCATTTTTACCGTCCGCACACCTAGACCGAGTTTGCAGGATGCCGTAGTATGGATCATAGTACCATATTCTGGCAGATTCTCTCACGAGGAAGGTGTGACCGTTAGCTTAGCTGTTGGCTTGCCGGGACGTCCACAGCCGGTGGATAGTAGAACGAAGTTGTGTGAATATTACATGCGAAAAAAGCACACTTTCGGGTCTGACAAAAAAGCTGTTGCAGACTAGCCGTGGCAGTGCTGACACGCCCAAAAACCTCATAAAAAGCCACAACACTCGCTGGCGCATTGTAATACGGCGAAACTGAACC